ACTTATTGACACGGCTTGAAGGAGCTGACCTGAACTACAGTGACCTTCAAAAGAAGACCAAGCTGCTAGCCTTACTTCCGGACTCATGGTCCTCGCTCATCATCAACCTTAATCGAGATCTGCCCCGTCTCTCACTCGAAGATGTGAAGCGGGAAATCTTACAAGAAGATTTCCGCCGTCGCGAATTGGCGGGTCCCGATGGTGCCGGAGTTGCAAGCATGGGCCGTGGGCACGGCCGTGGAAGGGGCAGAGGGCGAGAAGGAAGATTTGGCAGCAGTAACTTCAGTGGAGGCCGTGGTAATGGAGGATATGGCAGCAACAACAACAATGGCTACGGGCGTGGGCGCGGTCGATTTGATGGCGAATGCCACTTTTGTCACAAGACCGGCCACATGTGGAGAGATTGCTTCAGATTGCCTGATGGATGGACCCCTTCTCAAGGCCAAGAGGGCAGAGGAGCAAGGGGAGGAAGAGGCAGAGGTCGTGGAGGCCGTGGTGGCGTGGAGGCGAAGCGGCAAGCATGAAAGGTGGAGACTACGACAAGGACTCGAGTGAAGATCGATACCCGGGCCAATTCTTCTTTGTCTCCACGCAAGCGGCAGCTGCAGCAGGAGGTGTGGAAGGCTTTGAGGAGCCAGCTACTGTGGGAAAGGTCACCCTTCACTCTCTGGACTTTTGGGTGATCGATAGCGGCGCCACCTATAGCATGACACCTCGTGCGGACTTGCTCACCGAACTCGAACCGTCGCCGGTCAAGCATGTTACATCGGCTTTGGGGCAGCGAGCAGAGGTGAAAGGCATGGGCAAGGCCATGTTCAAGGGTGCTGATGGGAAGATGGTGGGCCTCAAGAACGTGCTTTGGGTGCCCAACCTAGCAGCCAACCTGATTTTCGTTCGGCGTTTGCAAAAGGCCGGCATGGACACATCTTCCAAGGGTTCGAAAACATATACCGCGAGGCTTGGTGAGCGGAAGCTTTGGGACCTTCATGAGGACAGGGACATCTACAATGAGATGTGGCAAATCCCAGTGGTCCCCATGCCTAAGGAGAGGCAAGTGGCAGCAAGCGTCAGCACCAAGAGTGAAGCGGTTGGTGGCGGTGATCACGGAAAACAAAGTGACACCAAGAGTGACTCGAAGGAGTGCAACCTTGGAGAGACCAGCAAGGCGTGTGAACCCAAGGAGAGTGGTGCAGCAGCCAAAGTTGGTGGAAATGAGGAGGAGAATCCTAAGATCAGCAAAGCAGCAGCGGCGAAGGAGAAAGGAGAGAGCTTGTGGGGCACGATTGCGAGTGCCGCTTTCTCCAACCCGACTTCCGCTACGGGAGAGTGTGATTGGCTGACCTTGCATCGGCGAATGGGGCATGTGGCATTGCCCATTTTGCAGCAGATAGTTAAGCAAGAGATGGTCAGTGGGATACGTGTCAAGGGGGAGCCCAATGAGGTGCTTGGCTGTCCAACATGCATGCAAGCCAAGTTCACCCGCTACCCGTTCCATAGCTCGGAGACAACGGCGAAGGCACCACTTGATGAGGTGGTGATGGATGTGGTGGGCCCCTTGAAGCTTGGAGCTGCTGGAGCTGAGTACTTCCTCACCATTGTGGACGTCTACACTCGCATGACTTGGGTGTATGTGCTGCCCAAGAAGAGTGACGTAGCTGAAACGGTGAAGACCGATTGGTTGCCGATGGTGGAGCGGCAACAAGACCGACTTGTGAAGGCGATTCGCACTGACCGTGGGGGAGAGTTCCTGAGCAAGGATTTCTCAACTTGGCTGAAGAAGCAGGGCATAAGGCACTCTCTTACCATGCCCTACTCTCCTGCAATGAACGGCATCGCCGAGCGTGCGAATCGGACACTCACGGAGACGGCTCGGGGACTTCTCATTGAAGCCGTCTTCCCAATTACTTTTGGCCGGATGCGGTGCGGCATGCTTGTGTGGCCAAGAACAGAGCCTTGACTCATGTGGGAGAAGACAAATGGGTGCCCTATGTGGAGTGGATTGGAAGGAAGCCGAAGGTGGATATGCTTCGGGTGTTCGGGTGCATGTGCATGGCACTTGTGCCTAAGAAACTTCGGCACAACAAGCTTGATGCCAAGGCAACATGGGCCGTGCACCTGGGCATGGCTCAAAACAGCAAGGGATGGCTTCTTTGGGACCCATTTACCAAGAAGTTCCTGGTGAGCAGAGATTGCAAGTTCATGGAGAACTTACCGTACAAGGAGTGGAAGGCGGAGAACCAAGCGAAGATTGGTGTGCGGCTTGGAGAGGTGAAGAGACGGCTTGGAGCATGTGGAGCTGCCTTGGAGCTGAGTAGCAGCAGCACAGTCAGAGGCAATCTCCCAAATGAATGGGGATGAGAGGAGGAGGAGGTGCAGCAAGGTGATGAGCGTGCACCGCACTTCCGCCTCGTGCTACAAGTGCTCGTGGGAACCGACCAGATTTACCGCAAGCCATGAGAGCATTCAAGTCCCTGCAGCAGAGGAGGAAGGAAGGGGGAGA